TAAGAAGAATATATGCAGTGTATTATTTGTTGAAACTGTACTTCCGATTTGATTTGAAACTGTCTCATTGCTATATGTTTATCAATAAAACTGTAGAAAAAAAAAAAAAGAATAAATTTAAAGGAGACCAAGTATCACTATATTCAAAAATTTGAATCATCTTTGAAATTTATTACTAAAGCATAGTATGCTAAAGTTTATCTTCATGTTTTCCATTAAATAGAAGATCCAAAGTTAAATTTAAATGTTACTATATAATGATATATAGTCTTTAAAAAAAAAATTGTTGAAAAAGTGGCTATTGCCTCTGCAAACAATATTTTGTGTTGAGTCAAATCAGTTCTTAAAATGTACCCAACAAAGGAAGTAAATAATCAAAAGGATACTCACTAGAGTATAATTAATATACTTGAAGGTAAAAACAAAACTCACTTTTAAAAATATATTGGACTATCCCACAATGATACATAATTTCTTTTTTTTGTTTTTATGGTTTTTTTTAGTAAGTGTCTACAGAGTCTCACTATGTAGATAGGACTCTTAGTGATCCACCTGTGTTCAGCCTCCCAAAGAGTTGGGATTACCAGCGCTCACCACCACACCCAGTCTCAACTGCTGTCTCAGCACAGCCTGGGGTTAGGGCCGGCATGACACACTAGGGATCGAACCCAGGCAGCTGTGTCTGTCTAAGCAGGTATAATTTCTTGTATTATTTTTCTTTTATCACACAGAGTTATAGTGTCAATAATGTCATTATTTATAAAACTCTTTGTTTTTCCTGCTTTCCTCAACTTTCCACAATGAATCTATCTGACCTACCAAAAACATGTATTATTCTTTGGGGAAAATGAATGATTTTACCTTTGCAGGTCTCCCCAGACCTAAAATAACATATTCATGTATTCAGTAACTGCTGGACCAAAAATATGTTTCTTCACCTTAATGCTTTCCATCAGATAGCTTAATTTCTTTCATTTTTTTTTTTTTTAAACGTCTTTAGGATAGGGTCTCACTAAGCAGCATGGCCTCATAGTGATCCTCCTGTTTTTCAGCCTTCCCAGCGCTGAGATTATAGGTGTGCACCACTATACCAAGTGTTGGTGGCTAGCTTAGTGCACCCAGGTGTGGGGCCAGCACAGCTGTGGTGCCAGGGATGGAACCCTGGTCCCTGTGCTTGCCTAAGCAGGCACTTAATCTGCTGAGCTTTTTTTTTTTTTTTTTTTGCATAAATATATGAGCCTTCCATTTATTTTTTTTGCCATAATTTTATTGATAAAATAAGACAATGAGACAGTTTCAAGTCAAATCAGTAGGACAGTAGGACAGTTTCAATAATTAACACACTGCATACATTCTTCTTAGTGGTTAACTGCTGTACAAGATGCAGACTTGATATCCTATTTACAAACGCCATTAGAACAAATCATTCTATTCATTAAGAGAATGTAACTATATATCTATCCTAACCACTTTGAATACATCTGCTGAGCTATCTTGCCAGCCCTTAGGTGGCTTAACTTCTCACAGAAATATAAAACATATCCACTAGATTCCTGAAAATATTAAAGATTTTTGGCATTGTTATTTATTCTAAGTTAAATCCATTTGTATGTATACAGTCATGCAATGCATTCCAGAAAGCTATAAAGTAGCTGTGAACCACCCCCCTTTTCACTTTAAGCCATCTATTGGTATCTCCACTGATGTGGGGGGGGGGGGAACCTTTCACATCAAAAATACACATTGTAGAGCCAGGAAAATGGGTCAGTAGAATAAGCGCTTGTCTGGCAAGCGCAAGGGCCTGAGTTCAATCCTCAGTTCTGGGGGGGAAAAATACACATGCATGCTTACTCTTGCATAGTTGTGGATGCAATAACACAAATCAACCACTGACATTTCACAGTATTGACTTTAAATGCCCAGGAAGTAAGAGACTAAATTTCATATAACAAACCAAACTATCTCCTCTTTTGGCATCATTATTGCATACTACAAAGAGAAACATATCTTGAAACCTATCTCTGGAAGTTAAGATTTTCAGATTTTTAAACTATGGCTCTCTATATTCTCTACACAGGTGTTAGGGGCTTAAAGGAAAAGCAAAACCAAGCTACTTCCTTCTTTTCCTCTCCTTGCACTGTCATTATGAGGTCTTGAAATAATTCAGCAACAATTTTATCCACGCTATTGTGCCTTTCAATCTCTTTTAACAGTATCAGCCACCAAGACAAATCTCTAACCCCCAAATCTGGGTCAGATTGTTAAAGGAAAAGAGTAGAAATTCAAATTAGAGCCAAAATTCCATGACAGGAAAATATGGCAACTACTGATTTTCCAAACTTCTTTTTATTATCTGAAAATTTCTCTTTTAGAATGGAATTTACAAGCTTACTGTGCTGAAAAAAAATATTTCATGCTATACAAAGCACTGGATAGATCTCAGGGTTGATTTTTAGGTCAAAATAATTATTAGTTTGTCATCAATTATTCATTAAATAAAAGTTTTCAAAATATTGAGTATATAATAGAAACACAATGGTATCCTGGTTTACAAACAATTGTTTGCAAATGCTTGGCAAAATTTTCGTTTTGTTTGTGAATTCTGCACTGGGTAATGAACACAACAATAGCCATCTTTCAAACATGAATGCAAATATGGCCACCTTTTCCAGATCATGGTACAAATTAAATTTGTGAACTGAAATAGCACTGTAAAATTAAATGGCTGTGACAGAAACACAATCAACAAGTATATACAACTGTGAAAATACAAATACCTAAATTCAGAAATAAAATTATTGAATTAAGTAGAAAACCTGTCTCAGAATATATGTATTACAACACTTTGGAAAAATTGTCCATGAGATTTATAAAGATAAGAAGTATTATTATGCTGACCTGAATTTCCTCCCAGATGTCTTCATCCAATAAGGTAGCAGCTCGATGGTGCTGCAAAGGGACTATGAGGCAGTGCCCTTCAGAAAGAGATCGGAAGTTGGGTAAACATAAATAAACCTACAGAGAAAAATATTCCAAAGGTGAATGTTATTGCCATTTATTCTTAGTTCGAACAGGTGAGCAGGGAAAACTCAATAGTATTTAATAAAGTACACTTGCTTCTAAGAAATACTGTTAATATTTCCAAAGCTGTGAATATAGCTTTTAATAAAATGGAAATCTACAGCAAAAATTTCACTTTTCATTGCTACACATAACACAAAGATTAAAATTTCCTAAGACAAAAATGACTGTTTTATTCTTGATCGGAGGGAACTATACACATTGAAAGCCCTTGAAACAACATAATTTTTGAGAAATAAAAAGTTACTGGGCCTGGTGATGCTAAGAGTAGCTGAACGGATGCCTGTTAGTCAGTTCATAGTCACTTTCTTAGTCACTTGCTGAGACATAACATGCCCAAATTAAAGAAGAAAAGGTTCATTTTGCTTTACGGTTTCAGTAGTGGACAGACTCCAAGCAAAAAGTGTGGTGAAAGAGCATTGTGAAAGAAGGCGGCTCGTGCCATGGAAGCCAGGAAGAACAGAGAAGGAAGCAGCTAGGACAAACATACACCCTTACAAATCATAACCCTCCTTCATGGACCCATGTGCCTTTAACCAGGCTCCACCTCAAACATAAGATTTTGAGGAACTTTTTTTTAGATCGAAACCATGATATTCCAGATAATGCATGAAAATGTGGGAGTGAAATCAAAGTGTAGTTGCACTGCCCTCTCATGGGCTTCTGGTGGTGACTGTGAGCCTATTACACATTTTTACCTTACATCTCAGGCCTTCTAAAACATGGGTTGATGTTTACATGACCCCATAACTCTTACATTCTGCATACCTGGAAAGACAGCACCATCTGGATGGCCATCAGCTGGGGTAGCAGCTAGCCTCCTTGGACCACAGTTGCAGCAGCCTCTCAATGTCTGAATGACTAAACTCAGGGATATACTTCCCTACATGCCCCTAATTAAACAAGCTCTTTCTGAACTATTTACCATTTTATATAGTTCAGTCTGTGATAGGTGGGGTCTGCTGATTTCTGAGATGTAAACAAGCTTTTCACAAGAGTATAATGTATGTGGCCTCTAATCCAGTTGCTAAGAGAACCCTCATTTGCAACTGAAATCTATCCTTTGCTGCCACATTCTTATCAGCATTCTGGTCTTGGGAGCATCAATCATATCATCGTTCAAGCTCAGTGGACAGCATTTTAGGGTTTCCTCTAGCCTACATCTCCAAATTATTCTACTCTGGTACCAAATTTTTCTAAACTCTACCCACAGATCAGTTCCAAAGGCTTCTGAACCATGTGATCAGGTACTATAACAGCAACAACACCACTCCTGTTACCAATATTTTTGTGCTAGTCACTTTCCCCATCACTGACTAACATCCTGATGTCCACAACTTAAAAAGAGGAGGTTTATTTTAGTTCATGGCTTTACGAGGATATAGATCATAATCAACCAGGCTTCAAGGCAGAAAGGGCATGATAAAAGTATGGCATAAAAGTATGGATAAAAGTGTAAAGCATTCCATCATGGTAGCTAAGAAGCCAAGAGAGAAGGTAATATCCACACACAAGAATACATACTTCAAACACAAACCCCGATAACCTACTCCACCCAAACAAGGATATATACAGTGAACAAAATAAACCCCAATAACCTACTCCACCCAAACAAGGATATATACAGTGAACATTCCCATGGTTTGTCACTCTTGCTCCCTCTTCCCTCCTGGTAAATAGAGGTAAATATTATGTTATATTTTGTCCCTTCTCAGCAAAATTTTTATTTATTTATTTTATTTTTTTGTATTTTAGGGAAGTGTCTACAGGGGTGTCCAGGGTCTCACTACTAGATCAGACTCATAGTGATCCACCTGCTTACAGCCTCCCAAGAGCTAGGATTACAGGTGCGCGCCACCACACCCAGTCTCAATTGGCATCTCAGCATGCCCCAGGGCCGAGGCTGGCACAACAGGTCCAGGGATCTAACCCCGCCCCCTGCGCCTGCTTGCAGGTACTTTAATGCGCTGAGCTATTTGGCTGGCCCTCTCAGCAACATTTTTAAAAGTTGCTTTATTTATTACATAAATACATACCTGCCAAATAAAATAGTTCTAGTACAAATTTAATGAAAGTAATGGTAGATAAGATTAAGCTTTCCACAGAATATAATTTAGGCTCTCCAAAGAAGAGGGAGCAAGAGTGACAAACCATGGGAATGTCTGTAGGCAACTTAAAAAATGAAATATCAGATAATGAATGCTAAAGGAAATAACTAAACGTACGCCTACTGAGATAATGCTAGGGAGTCAACAATGAGCAAAGAGACATAAATCCCTGCTCATAAACAATCTGTGTAATGCTATACACTGAATAACTTTTTCCTAACAAAATTTTTATGTTAAACCTAATACCACAGGACTCTACTAGTTAGTCTTTGGGGTGATTCAATTGTGAACTGCTTTGAAATACTGTTATTTCAGTTTAAAGTCAAAGTAATGCTTTAGAAACTCAGTATCATATATGATTTATTCAAGGAATATCTGAACACAAGAATCTGCTTTATTCACACTAAGAAAATAATTCATTAGCTACAATGTATGAGACAAGCAATCGCACATTATAGGAAACTGATGAAATTTCTAATCAACATTTAAAACATTTAATTACAACTGGTAGTGCACATTAATTGTACAAATTAATGAATTTCATTGTGACATGTCCACTCAGGTATACTATGGTACTTTTGATTGTATCCAGGCACCCTACTACCTTCTCTTACCACCCTTCTCCTTACACATTGGTCCCTTTCTAATTTCATGTCAACTTTTTTTCCTACAGCCCATAGAGTCTATGCATATTGAAACAGTCACAGAAGAAAAGCTAAAGATGATGATAGTTTTCAGGCTCTTTATTCTACAGAGAGCAGAATAAAGAAAGCATGGAAAGAAAAGGTAGAAATTCAAATGGCTCCAAAGCTTTCTAAATGAAAATCCCAGTCTGAGAGGAAGAAACTGATTGGCCAACTCTCTGCAAATAGAAAGCAAAGAGAAGAAATATTATTAGAAATACTGAATGGAAAATAAGAATTATCTCATAACAGGAAAGGAAAATTGAGAAGGAAAAAGGGATGTATGAGACAGTAACAGTTGAAGAAATAGAAATGTCTGTTTACTAGTTAACAGTTTCCACTGACCAGTGAATTAACAAATGACTACTTTGGACACAACTGCTATGCTTTGGAGATATTTATTTTATTCCTACTAAAACTCATGTTAAAATTTAATTCACAGTATAGACATGTTAGCATTAAAGAGGCAATTAGGTCATGAGAACACCACTCTCATAACAGTGAGTGCATTTCCCCCAAGAATGAGTTGTAATAAAGCAAATTCAGCTGTTCTTGGCACTACCACTGTCTTGAGCTTCCCTGCATCTACAACTGTGAGATAAACACACCTCTTTTCTGTATACTTATCCAACCTCAGATGTGTTCATATAACAACAAAAAATGAGCTAAGACAAAACATATATGCAAGACACTAATGAATGGTTTGTATACTTTCTCTCTACGCCTCCTCTGCACACACATCTGCCTTCAGTAAACTACACACATGAATCATTGAAAAAAAATGCCCAAACTTCTGCTAAAACACTGTAGAAAAACTTGTTACTACTATCTCATTTGCCCTCTTATTTGACATTTACTGAATTCCTATATTTTTAAGGGTATGGATGAGACTAAAGAAAATGAACTATTTACTCATAAGGTGATAATAATAATAATTCAAATATTTCTGTGAAAGCCCAGAAAGAAACTTAGAAAAGTACCTACAAGTAATTATTTAAGGCCTTTTTTTCTTTTAAAACTGATTAAATGTTAACCTGATTTTTTTTTTTATTTACTTCTTGATAAAAAGTGAGGGAAAAGGCAAGAATAAGGAAAGGAAATAAAGACAATCAAAATCCAAATTGATGACATTTCTCTTAATGACCTAAAGGTATTGAAAGGTCATGTCTATATGACAACAAATTAAATAAATATATGCATTTATACATAATCCTGAAACTAATATTTATTCATTCAGCTCCTTTACTCTGTCTCTTTCCTACTCCACTCCAGCAGTTGTGTTCATCAACATCAACCTCATTTGCCCTCCAAAGCCTTTCACTCACTGATGTTCCTTCCTAAAACATCAGTTCATGCATCTCTTCACCCTTCTTGTTCCTTCCTCTTTTACACAATGTACTAATATCTCAGAGAACCTCATATATAGACCACCTTTGCAAAAATAATACTCCCCCATCATTTTATCACATTTCCTTACTTTACCTGTTTTATGACAATACCCTCAAATTAGGACAAGTACTCATTTCCTTATTTCCTGGTCTGTACATTAAAAGCTTCAAAAGTCTCCCTTATCTATTTTCCCTGGGGGCCTGCCCCTTAGCTCAGCTTTTTAAGTGGCTGCTTCAACAAGGCATTTGGGCTCAGGTTGCTGTGGTTTGATCCCCACAACTCAAGCCAGCCAAACCTGCCCTGAAGGCATTCAGAGCAAAAAAAAAAAAAAAAAAAAAAAACAACCTTATCTATTTTTCCCATGACATAATTAGGATTTAGCATACATCAAATACATAAAAACTACTTACTTAATGTAAAAAAATAATAAATATTTATTGAAGTAAAGTACCATTATGTACCACAAACAGGACCAACTGACTGACATTTAATGGTGAGAGACAAATTATCCCCATGTTCATAAAGCTCACAGACTACTGAGAGACCCAATGAAAAAGTAAACCAAAGAAAATATAATAAACTCCAAATTGTGAGATAATCTACAAAGAAACAAATAGATGCTATGAGCAAGCATGCCAAGAAGCAGAAGTCATTTAAGACTCAGTCCGTCAGGGCTGATAATTCTCAGAGTCAAGGGCTAGTGTAAGATGGCAAGACTCGGGAATGGCAGGAGCAGGACATGAATCTGTGAAATGTGGCTCCAAAGTCCAGAACATTAACCACCACTACATAGCTCTTCACAAAGGAGTAGAATCGCACAAGGAAGGAAGCTCTTGTCGCTTAAAAATCTATACTTGCTTTTAGGGCAATTCTAAGAATGATAAGAATTTAGAAAAATCTTTGAAACAGAAAAGAAAGCTATTCTTTGGGGATCTTTTAAAAATATGAAAACACACATCTATGTACACTAATCAATCTTTTCTTTGGATCAACAAGTTTTATATTTCTTACCTTAACACCTATTGCAACAATAAGGTGCTTGGGAAATTGAGAGCTGTCAAAACAATAGAGACATTTTTCCATTTGTGCAGCAAGACGCTGGTGCTCAGCTATAGCCTGCTTCCTCTGGCTCTCTTCCTCCTCGCCAAGACGTCCTCGCTCAGCTGCTTTGGATACAAACATGTCATCTAGAGTGTAATAGTCTCCATCTGCTTTTCCCATGAACTGAAAAATCAAATTAACAGTAGTAGGGACACAGTGGTTAAGATTTTATAATACAATAGCATCCTCAAGTCCTATCTTTGAGTTCTTTGATAAAACTCACACATTACAATATAAATTTAAGCCAGGGAGATAGCTCGATGCAATAAGTACCTGCCTGCAAGTGCAAAGTGTAAGGTCTTCTTGAGTTTGATCTCTAGTACTAAAACTAAATATAAAATAAAATGAAATATAAATTTTAAAAATCATGATTATATTTAAATATGATCTTCCACAGTCAAACCAGGAATACAATCACATCTAACATTTACTAAACATTTCTATACACAGCTCTGAAATTAGATGTTTTACACTCATACGAAGCAAAAACCATTTTAATTTCTACATAAAAGACAAACCAAAACATAAAGAAATTACTTCTACTTTTTAAATTAGCAAGTATACTGTAAGAATAGAAAATATTTTTCTAAATAATCTGTGAACAGACTGATGCTTTGAAAATATTAAATCTATATTTTATTTATGTCTCTGCTTAAAATAAAGAGCTGTACCATCAAATTCAAACTCTGGCATCACCTATGAAATTACAAACACAAAAAGGCATAATGATAAAAACCTTAGGTTCTATACCCAAAATAACTAATAAAATTCTATCTTCTATCTATTAACCTCCACCTATTTATTTTCTCTGTAGCCTCTCTATCCCTTATTTCCTCATTTTACAATGATTTTAACATTATCCATCTACTGAAACAGCCTCACAGCACACGTCAGACACAAAGCAAGGACTGTGAGCTACTATTATTATGACAAATCTCTTCATGATTTGGCATTGGTGGTCTCCAGACACATCTGACCACCTGTCCACTCAAGCCCTGTGTTCCAACTACCCTACTTTCAGCATCCAAAAGTACTGTTAGCATCATACTTTGCACATAGAGCTCAGTGATCAATTTTTCCCTCTACAATATAATGCTACTTATCCTCATTCTTCAAGTCTAGGCTTAGAAATTTCATGACTACACTATATCATAACCCTGTTGTTTTTCTTTCATTACAACATGTTCGTAGTCTCCTAAGTATAAAGCAAAACAAAACTAAATTTGTTAAAAACATCAAATACGAAACAGTAGCAAGATGCTTGAGTCTTAGCAGACATTTTTAAAAGTGTAGAGAGATTAACACTTATGCATTCAAGGATATCAATACATAGAAAAAGCAGCCCATGAGATGACAGGCAATATTTATAACTTGCATATCTGATAAAGAATTTAACAAAAACTGACTAAAAAACAGAGAAGGTGAACAGACATTTTTCCAAAGGGGATATATGAGTGGCCAATAAACATATGAAAAGATACTCAAAATTATTAATTATCAGGAAATGCATATCAAACACCCATGAGCGATTCCCACACTCACTAAGAAAAGTAGAACCAAACAGATAGCAAATATTGTCAAAGTTGTGATGAATTAGAACTCTCATACAGTTGATGGGAGTATAAATGTATATCCATTTTAGGAAAGTCTCATAGGTCCTTAAATAACTAAATATAAATTAACTAACAAACAAATGTGTGGGTTACCAGTTTTGCTCCATTTCTAGGTATTCACCCCAAGGAAAATGAAAACGTGTCTACACAAACTTTCATGTGTTTACAGCAATATTATTCATAATAACAAACAGGTGAAACAACCTACATGCTCATTGCCTTAAGAATAGATATGAATGAGAGAGCGAGACAGAGACAGAGACAGAGAGACACAGACAGAATAGATAAGCCAACTTTTTTTTTTTTTTTTTTTTTTTGTTGTTTTTTGGTTTTTTGTTTTGTTTGTTTTTGTTTTGGTGCAGGGTCTCATTACACAGCCCAGACTCATAGTGATCCTCCTGATTTCTGCCTCCCTGGTTCTGGGATTACAGGCGCACACCACCACAGCAGGACTCAGCAAACTGTTGTGTACCCACACAATGACATATTATACAGCCATAAAAGGAATGAAGCACCGATATATGCTACAAGATAAGATTTTTTTTTAAAAAATCATTATGATAAGTGAAAGAAAGCCAATCATAAAAAAACCCACTGGTGCCATATATAATTCTCTTTATATGAAATGTCTAGAATGGAGAAATCTACAGAGACTGAAAATAGATTACTGGCTGTGCAGGGCTCAAAGGCAGAATTTGAGAGTGAAAGGTGTAGGATTTCCTTTGGCAATGGTAAAATGTTCCAAATTGACTATGGTGATGACTGTGGCTTTATACATGAATATACTGAAAACCACTGACTTCTATACTGTAAGCCAATACATGATTTACTATGTATCAGTAAGACACAAATAGTATCTTACTGAAATTGTTTAAAAAGAAAAACAATTACTTTATCCAAAGACAGTTACAATCTTTGCCCTCTGCTCCCCCAGAGAGAAACTAGGCCCTCAGAACTTCCTGCCTGATAAGATTATTTTTGTTGACCTGAGACCATTTTGCCACACTATACAGTGAGTGCTAGTAATGTGCTCATACAGGTAGTTTTTTATGTGGCTCTGGGTCACACATCAGGTTCACCTCCAGAGCAGCTAAAAGCTAAGCCCAACAATCTGCATTATTAATCGTGTCTATATGGATTTTGCTAGATTTAAATGAGATTCCCTGGTTGCCAATACTTGGTGCGGATCACTCGTGGGAGAAGTCAGCAGTGCACACAACTCCACTAGCACAGAGTAAGTGAAAGATTAGTGCTTGGAGCCCACTTGGACACTGCTTGATGTCTCTTCCTTTGGCTAATTTTATTCCGTATTCTCTCTGAAACTAACCTTAACTTTCAGAAACAAATTTTAGTGAATCCTGCATCATAGTCTTAGGAACCTCTGTACAGCTGGTGTTGAAAAAGGGTGAGCTTAGAGATGCTCTATCTAGTATCACATCTGGCTGAACGGTTAAGGACTCAACAGAGTTGTTAACAAGGAGCTCTGAGAAAGAGAAATGTGGACTGTCTTCTCTGTATGAATACAGAGCTGGAAGACATGTGTGTCCAATACATAAATATTTATGACACTAGCTACTTCTAGAGTTCCCAAAGAGTTTATGAACAATGGGGCCATGTAGAGAAAAAACTTGGATGTGCTGAACAATATAAACTTCTACTGTGCAAAGCCAATCTTTTTATAGCTCCTACTGAATGCCCAACAGGTCAACAGCAGAAACCAATACTAAGCTCCTTTATAATACTACTCCTTTTGGGGTAATCAGAGAGCTACCTGGCAGCAGGTGAACATACTTAACTGCTTGCATGATGCAAAGGGCTGTGCTTTGCTGTTACTGGAATACACACTTTATGGATATGATTTATCCTTCCTTGTATGCAATGCTTCTGCCAAAATTAATACCATGGGACTTATACTATCCCGGTATTTCACACAATACTTCTTTTGACCAAGGAACTAGTTTTACAATAAATGAAACACAGCAAAGGGTTTGTGCCCATTGCACTCACAGGTCTTACCATCTTCTCTGACATCCTGAAAAGGCTATCAAAAACTGAACAGTAATCTGATCTTTGAAAACTTAATTACTAATGCCAGCTAGGTGGCATCATTACATACGGTACAGTTATATCCTATGACATGACTTTGTTTTTTCACCCGGATTAGAAAGAGCACTACTCTACACTGATGTAGGAGCCACTGAAAGTGACAGATTCAGAAAAGGGATTTTAATCACGGGCAAGATAACGAGGATCTCTGCCATCAGTTTTTGTTTATTAAATGGACTTAAAACCAATGCTGCTAATTATAAGCAACAATGTATGTAAAGGGCCTGACTTAGAGCAACTTCTCAAAAAAGATAGTTGACGAAATGTCCTCTACGATACAGCATTCTTAGCACAGTGTTCTCAAGTGAACACAATTTTATGACCTTCTTCCCCACCCAGTGATATCTGGCAATATCCAGAGACATTTTTTATTGGCACAAAACAGAGGCTGATCTGATACTGACTGGATAGCTGTTGCTCACTCTCCACACAGACAGCACTTCTAGAACACAAAGCTGGCCAGCCCCAAAATATCCCAAGTACCATAGCTAAGGAACCATGCTCCATAGGTACTCTGATTATATTACTGTGGTAAGAAAGTTCTTTTGTATTCACCAATGATAACCACTTTCATAAACTGCAGTGTTAAACTGAATTATTACTGACACTCTATTTAATATGCTTCCAAATTCAAACCTAGAAATGAAGTTAATAAAATAACATTATTATTAAATTACTAATAAGTTAATAATTACATTAATGTCTAAGCATTACATACACAAAAATGATAAATATCGGTGGAAGAGCTTCCTGCTACCCTGCGCCAGCAGGATCTGCTGGTCCTAGCCCAGGTGCAGCGAGGGTGAGACCCTCTTCAACCTCATTGCGACGCACCCCAACACTCCACAGCACCCTCCCCCTGCCCGCCCAGTGAGGATTTCTGCCACATTCTGGGGACTCCCAGATCCAGTCCTAGCCCAGGCCTGGTGAGTGTGGGAAAGCTAAGTGTGCCTGCGGGACCTGCTGATCCCAGCCCAGGCACTGCGTGCATGACACCTTCTTCCACCCCTTGGGACCCCCTCTACCACTCCGAAGCAGCCCTCCCACCCCGCCCCTGAGTAGGAATTTCAGCTGCATTGAGGGAACCCCCAGATCTAGTCCGAGCCCAGGCCCAGCGAGTGTGTGGGAGAGCTGGCTCTCTCCCTTACTCTACCTTCTTCACTCCAGACTCAGCACAGGCCTGGCCTTACAGGCCTGCGGTGAAACCCTGCAGCTGCAATCCCTGCAAAGAGAGTAGGGGACAGAACCACCCAGCTAGTCCAGGAACAGAGCATCTTGCAAGAGGGGCACAACAGGTTCATACCCAAGGGTAGCAGCAGAAAGGAACTGAGCAAAGCAGCCAGACCCAAGCCAGGCACAGCTGGATAAATCCAAACTTTGTAGATCTACACCTTAACTTTAGTA